TTATTCAAAATATAAATATTTTCTAACAATATAAATCTTTGCTATCACTTCTTATCAATTTAACACATCCTTGCTGAATAAAAGTTTGAATTTCTTTAAAAAAAACAAAGAATAAAAATGTACTGACCCCAAACGTTTGAACAGTGTAGATTGTTAGAAAAGATTTCTATTTTAAATAAATGCTCTTCTTTTTAACTTTTTATTCATCAAAGAATCCTGAAAAAAAAAAAAGTATCACAGGTTCCAAAAAAATATTAAGCAGCACAACAGTGTCCAGCACTGATAATAAATCAGCATATTAGAATGATTTCTGAAGGATCATGTGACACTGAAGACTGGAGTAACGGCTGATGGAAATTCAGCTTTGCATCACAGGAATAAATTACATTTTAAATTATCTTTTTATTTAGTAATTTTAGTGTTTAAACTTAAACTAAATCAAAATTAGAAATGTTGCCTTGGCAACTAACTAAAATAAGGTTTTCATTAAATTTTTATATTTTATTTTATTGAAAATAAACATGTTTTAACAGTTTTAGTTAATGGTTTAGGTTGATGTCATGTCATGAAATGGCTCATGAATATTAATTAGTTCATGGTCATTTACAACTGAGGTGGTCATTTACAACTCCAATTTTCAGAATTTTAATATAATATAGAATTATAGAATTAAAATGGAATGAAATTCAGAGAAAATAATTACTTTAACTGCAGTAAGTGTAATTTTTTTACATTATTATGATCATTTTAGTGATCATAATGATACCTTATTGAATAAAGATAATTATCTTACAATAGAAAACAGTTATTTTAAGTTGTAATAAAATGTTACAATAACAAGATTTTACTGTAGAGTAAAAAAAAATCTGAATTGTGATAAAAAAAGATAAAAAAATGGCAATAACCTTTTTTCATGGCAGAAATAAGCTTCAATACATAAAAGACTTCAAAATATTTAGAAAAAAAATGTACAACCTTTTAAACAAAAGTGTACATACAAAGCAATTTGTACACTACTTGTATGAATATGCACACTAGGGTTGTGACGGTGAGGACATTTTCCCACCGGTTAATCGATGTGTGACAACACCGGTAATACCGGTATCACCGTGGGGGCGATAAGAAAGCTTGGAGGCACGGCATACACCTTGATGTCAAATAAAATAAATAAATTACACAAAGTTTAAATAAAGTAAAAATCAGCAAACAATGTGGAACCAATTAAATAAGAAATGAATGTTTAAAAAAAACTTCCAAAATCACCTTAGATAAACGGCAAAAGTCAACAGGCTTTTCAAAATCCAAAATATTGCCAAACAGGCGCTTTTGCATCTCGTTTCGAAACTAAATCATCCGCCATCGTCTTGTCTGTCTCAGCTCACTCTTCTTGTCAGTCAGCTCGACTCACTCTCCTCACTGGAGAAATTAAATCTGATCTGTGATGCGACTGTCGTTCGACACGCTGCATTGAGCAGCCGTTCAGTTTTTAATTGTAGTGTCTGTTCTTTTACTGAACTAAATTATTTTTATTACTATAAAAAATCAAAACGACGGTGGGGGTCGGTGCCGCGGTGGGCAAGTGACGTAACCGGTGTTGAGGCTTAACACCGGTATCACTGTCAGCACCATCTATCGCGGCAAGCCTAATGCACACTGGAGAAACCAGGGTTAAATGCTCAACTTAAGAACTCAAAAGGGTTCTATCAATAATACTTTAGCTCACAGATCACTCCAATCTGGGATTCAACCTGTGACACAAGCCTAAGACTGCCATACCCCTAAAGGGGTCAACATGACCCTCAACTGTCATTAAGATAACAATTTGTGTCTGTGCTTCTATATGTTTACAACTGCTTATAGCCACAAATGCAGAAATAAGGCTCACATATATAATTAAATAAACAGTTCTTTCATATAATATTTATTAGAATAATACTAAGAATTATTTTCCCCCTTCTTACCAATCCATCTGCTCCCATTCGTCCTCGTCCGGACACACGGAATGCCACTTCAGCTTCCCAGTGTTCAAAACTTACAGGGTTTTTTGTCCATACCGAACCCTTCTGGCTTCGCAGAGAGGGGGTGATTCGGATCTGATCTGAACTAGGAATGGCATCTGGAGAGAAGATGGAAATAGGAAAATGCATGAATAGAAAATTATTTAATATTTATTATTTAATAATAATATTAAGAATATACTATATCATTGAGAAACCTGATCTGATGTAAACAAGTTTCCCCAATTTATTTTATTTTTTTTTATTAAAGGGTTGTTTCTCAAAACCAGGAAGAGCTGAGGTAAGAAAGCTGGTTTCTGAGCATTTGTCAGTTACCAAAGCCATCAGTATCTCTTATATTAGAGAATATAGAAAGTATTTACGTTATATAATTTTATCATCACACACCCATGTAATATCTGGCACAATACCAGGTGTATGAGCAGAGACTTCCCTGACAGCATACTTCTCTGATGAGATAAATCGATTTAAACAACAGGACAGAAACCACAACATTAAATCTGATGACTAAGTAAACAGCATTTATTGCTCCTGCCGGCTAATATGTGCAGTGTATATGAGAGATTTAGGAAGTGTTGCAAAACAGAACGTTGCTCTTCGCACATGCCGAGACAGATTTGTTTAACCCTTTAGGAAAACTAGTGCCATGTCAGCTGTGAAACTGCATGAATATATTTACTAATCACAGTTTTAACAATGTCACCAAGATTATGCATCAAAAATAATTATGTGAATCTGATGACTAATCAAAATGACACTTTTTATTAAAAAGCAGCTGTTGTTTTCTCAACACACCATAAAAAACACAGCTGGCAGTGCACCAAACATTTCAGAACTGAGTGTGTGCATAGTTTACCTTAAGATATGTTACAAAATATCATAATTTGCATTATTACAAGAAACCCCACATGCAAAAGCAATGCAACCTATCATTCACTAATGATTGCACCACTGGTTCAGTTCATTTCAATGCAACTTCACATAAATTTCATGGGGAATTTAAACTACAAGTATGTACATGGACTAAACATACTGACAGATAACAGACAGTGATACAGCTGGATGGACAACTTACTCCCAGTATGAATCCAGAATGGGATACTTCCATCACTCTGTGTCAGATGTGGCCCTTTGAAACTGTATTTATACTCAAAGCGCCGGTGCGGCGAGTCCTCGGCAGCATTGTCAGCGAAAGCGTGCGGAAATATTAAAGATATTAGTAATAAATAGGCATAAACTGCCAGGCACTTGGCTATGGGGACCGCCATGTTTGAGTCTGAGTGCTGACGTAGCGCAGAGAAGGGGCGGGATGACTGGAAACTCTGAAGGGCCAACAGGGCGCTCTCTCATTGGCTGAAGCGCTTGATTGACAGACGGGGAATTAATAAGAGAACCGCTTTGAGCCTCGTTTTCAGTTACTGATGACTTGGTACTAATCGTGTCATAGCCCTATTTTTATACAGTCTATGGTCATAGCATACTAGTAAGTTACTATAGTAACCCAAATTTTTGCCAAAGAGGTGTTAACGGTTATTCTTGCCGCGGTAAGATTACATTTATATGAGCTTTTTTTCAGACTGTTTAGACTATATATATATAGAGAGAGAGAGAGAGAGAGAGAGATAGATAGATTTACATATATACATTTATATACATATTTGTGTCTGTAAATATGTAAATGATTAGTGCTATGTATATATACTTTTCGTAGTCAAAGGTTTTTTAATCATATTTTTTTATTTTTAAATAATATATTATATGGTACAGCTGTCATGCACAATTTACACATATATTCACAGTTCTGTACAGTGCTATATCAAAGCATTCAACAGGAACAGGAAGTTATGTGCTATAAAGCTTCGGATAAGACAACTGCCTTTCCTTCTCAGTACACACACCTTGATTGACAGAACAAAAGACTCTCAGCACGTCCTCTTATCCTGCTAGTGAACCTGTAATTATGGTCTTAAAGAGTGCTATCTTTATAATTTATATTTATATGCAATGGATTACATCTGTGTTTTGTTACATATAAGAGTAGAAAAATTATTTTTATGTTGATCAAAAGTGGATAATTTACACTGACATACAGCTGACATGATGACTCAGCAAAGCAGAGCAACATTCTAAACTCCATCTATTTTAAACTGCATTTTTATACTTGTGCTTTTGTTCATTATTTTGTATACATAAGGATTAGATATTTGAATTAACCCAAAACTATATGTGTCAAACGTCCGTATGTAACTTGTCCTGTACCATTTGTGCTACAATCATGAATTATACACTTCCTCACAACACATGGCTTGTTGAAAAGAGAAGTGCTATTCATTTTACAAGAGATCTGATGTGCACGTTTAACTGGCAAGCTGGAAAAAAGTCCCATAGACTTGCATTGATAGAGATGACAGAGTCGCCATATCTGACAAATAAATGTGTATGTGACAAACCATGAACCTTGGAATCAGAACACCATTAATATTAATATTAATATTAACCACATAGTAACTCCCTGGCAACCATCCACAACACCTTTATTAGTTATTTCATATTTATTATTATACATGCATAAAAAAAAAAAAAGAAGCATTTGCAGGATTGTAATTGAACTTCAAAAAAGAAATCTAATAGGGGATTAAATAGTGTAAATATATGTATTAATAATAACAACAATAGAAAACAACATCTAAAAATATATATATAAATATATAATTTTCTTATTTATAAATTTGAAACTTTAAATGCAAAAAGTCTTGAAGAAGTAGATTAAAGTAGTGTCAAACATTTTATAATAATATTAAATAGCAACTAAAGCTAATAGGGGATTACAATTAGTGTAAGATGTTGATAATAGAAAACAGTATTTAACAATACACATTTTAAATGAAATACATTTTTAAATACATTTTAAACTTTAAAGGCACTTTGCAGCACTAATAAATCAACTTAAAATATTAATAATAATAATCTAACAATACACATTTCCCTTATTAAATCATTTTAACCTTTAAATGTAGTTTTAATTAAATTGATGTTGGAAAAAAGGATCATGCAATTTTTATGTCAACTACCCATAAACATTTTGTTGTTGATGTCAAAATCAAGCTTTTTTTTTTGACTCATCTCTTGCCTGAAAAACCACGTCATGTTGCATTTTTCCAAAACTATCTCTTCATGCTTAGACAGACTTAAATGTCATGCCTTGTTACTCAAAGGCTGTTGGAATCCTTGCTTGTGAGTAATCCATCAGCATCAGTCCGGCTGATCTCTTCCCGTGGCCTATTCTCCAGCTCACGATACTCCCCTAATCATGACAAGTGTCTCTCTTGTTCGCATCATTACGTTAGCCTGAGGAGAGAGTTTGTAATTGAGGTCCCTTCTCTTTTGTGTGAAGTTCATTAGGAAGTTAATTCTCACAGTTTGGAGGAAATGCACGATTTAAATAACAAAGGAAATGCAAATGGCTCATTTGGATTGGAGACAAAGGCACCTGATGGGAGCTAATGGATTACGCATCAGGAGAATACTTCGACAAATTAGTCAGCACAAATATTTGGCCAGCTAATTATGCAGCCAAACAAATGTTATTTTTGGAAAGCAGATGCAGATAGACCACAGTTTTAATGTGTAAAATAAAGCAGCATGGCAAGAAGGGTCATAAACCTCCTGATATGGAAGAAAAACTGAATTGTGGCAGCAAGTGTTTCCTAACAGGGCTCATTGTGTACATTCTTTGTGCATTATAAAAAAGGTCTTTTCAGGTCATAAGGGACACAGAGCAGCTGAGCATGGCTTCTCACCTCTCAGTTGGGTTCCCTTTTCTGTATTCAGTGTGTCTTTCGCATTGAATTCACAAACTAATGCAAATAGACAAAAAACAACGATTTGAAAAACAATTCCCACAACAAAACCTAAGTAAATAACAGTGGTGTGGAAGAAAAGCAGCGTGTAGCATTTTATTATCCTTCACCTGCAGGGAGTTCACTTCAGCCCTAGATGGTCTATTCATTACGGTATAGACCCGACATTTAGATTTGACCCCTTTTTGGATGACACACTTATGGTTTAAATCAAGTAATGAATAGGTCAATAATCAGGGATGTGTTTGTTATTGACTTATTTGAGTGTTAACCTATTGAATGAACATAAAATAAAACGTGTTGTATGAATTAGTGAAATCTCTGTGGGCAAGTATTATATTTAATAAATAATATGCATGATGTTATTTATTATTATTATTATTATTTACACTACCAGTCAAAAGTTAGGAATAATTATGATTATTTTTTTTTTTACTATTTTTGAAAGAAGATTGTTATGCTCAGCAAGACTGCATTTAAAATACAGTAAAAACAGAAATATTATTGCAATGTAAAATAACTGTTTTCTATATGAATGTATTTTAAAATATAATTTATTTCTGTGATGGTAAAGCTGAATTTTCAGCAGCCGTTACTCCAGTCTTCAGTGTCACATGATCCTTCAGAAATAATTAATATAATATGCTAATTTGCTGCTTAATTTTATCAGTTGTTATTGCCGATGAATTATTAATGGTTCTATTATTATCAATGATAAACATTTTTTTGTTAATTTATTCAGCATTTATTTGCAATAGATTTTTTTTGTAACATTATAT